GCATCACAATCAAGTCATTACTGCTTCTCATTCTAGTCGAGTAGTACAGTATCTACCTGTCCACTGGGCACATACCGTATACATCATAGTACACAATCAAATGATAGCATTACATATTATAGTAATATCAATATTAATAATATAGAAATATTAATAGAAGTTGAATGATATCATGCATTCACTCATTCATTCATTCATACAGTTATCATAAATATTTGTATTTATAAAACATTAATAAAATTATATTTTCATTAATAGTATCTAATATTATAAATTAATTAACTAATGTTATTGTTAATATTAAAATATAATAACTTATCATGCAATACATCAAAACTTTGAACTTGACAAATTATGAATTAACAAAAAACGATTGTCAGTAAGTATTGTATAATATACTGTATTTTGAAAGTATACGCGCCGATGAATAAGAGCTTAATTGACTATTAAAATAATCGTTGGAGTCGTTGATGTATCCAAACCCCCAATCAGAGAATTGTATTACATAATTAGGCACCGGTATTGTAACATAAGGACAATAATATTCTCACTGAAAAAATTCTTCTTACTCAAGATAACCTAAAACTATTTTCATATCTAGTAGTCCTATTTATATTTTTACAACAGTTGAAACGTTTGTAATTTCGATAAAAAGTAAGAATATTATTTACAGATTTTATACTACAATTTCAATATTTAAGATTTGGGAAGTCTATGTATAGATATATGACTACAAGTATTAAATTTAGGGATACTATGTCATTAAGCCATTACTAAACAGGCCATTATATTCAATACAGAATAATGACAATGATATAGCTTAATTTATTCTAGTATTCAACAAACATTTGTGCGCCTACAGTAAAGTGACATACGGAACAATACTCTAGGTATGAAATCAGACCTACAAATACGGTACTACTGTATAGAATAATTCTTTATACAATTCTTTACAATATTTATAAAACAACGTTCAATTAATAATAGATTACAAAAATGCAGGGTTTCTACGGTACATAAAGTCTACTACTTTGAACATTTTGGTGTAATCTATGCTAAATCTATAGTCTATAATGAGTCTAAACTAACGCAAATCTACAGTAAATCTACGATAGAAGCAAATTTGCTTAAGTTGTCAATTATATACACTCATAACCCAATGCTATTTTATATTCCTTTGTTGTGACAATTATATTAATTGATCCAATGTGTAAAAATATTTTTGTTTTATTAAAAATGCGTGATCTATACTTATTAAACACATTGAAATATAAATCAATACTCAAATTGATAGCCAAAAATAATAACATAACAAATTCATGCAAAGTATTCCTTAAACGGTAACAATTTGTTGCAAAGGTGTTCAGGCAATGCATTCATGCATAACTAGCAGACAATACATGATATAGAAATCGGGATGGGAGGGGAGGGGTGTCTAACTTACTTGTTGGGCATTTGTTTGTCCACTATCTACAAGAACATCGATGAGGTCCATAGATTTGGCAAAAGCATCCCTCAAATTAACATGGTGAAATGACACGATGGAGCCCTCCCGTTTCGCCCTCTCGAGAGCCTCCTTACGTTTTAATGCTTTCTCGCGTCTCATTTGATTCTTTAGTTTTGCAAATATTTTCACATTTACTTCAAACCTTATTGAAAGACCTTAACTCGTTTTGACTTACTTTATAAAACTCGGCGAAATTGTTTACTTTTCATCGATTCATAAGTATTTAAATAAAATGGCAAATCAATAGTCAGAATAACAAACACGCATTTTGCAAAATTAATAACCGCTTTTAAAATTTTGTTTTTCACACGCTTTATAAAGGTTCCAGTATATTTTTATATTTGTCAAATATTGTATTAAACAGTCTAAAACTCACAAATACTTTTATCCTTAAACTTGCAAATAATAATGTCAAATATTGCATAACCTATCAAAATGCATAAATCTGTATCTAAAATACAGAATAAATTGTGTGATTTAAATATGATTCATATGATAACTTTAAAAAAAACTAAATAAGAGTTTGGTGAAATTTTTAGAAAATATCCACACAATTCAAAGTTAATTTTGAATTATATTTTGAAACATTAAAACTATTACTAGAGACACTTCTATTGCTATGAAAACTGAAATGATTGATAAATATTTGAAATAAAATCAAGAATTTTGATTCAATTGTGTAGATAAGAAAACACTTTTAGAGGAGAACTTCTTGAGAATGAAAAACAGAATTGTTTGGTATATAAACACCAAAAGCTGTTGAGATGTCTAATTGTTTGGCTCTGAATATACTCACCAATGATAGGAATGGGCAGAGCAATGACCAATACGCCACAGATGCAACAGGCGCTGCCAACTATCTTACCAAATAGTGTGGTCGGAACTATGTCTCCATAACTGATCAAAGTTACCCCAACATTAATGTTTTGTTCACAAGTGCTTAAACTCTCATTAACCGTAACATTGAGCGAGTGTTTGGATTTTAGCATTTCTGGCAATATTATCACAAATTTTATTAATTGTCTGCAAAGAGTTTTATATTTTCTATATATTTTACGGCTTTATATCTATAATTTTTGTTGCAATTATTTACTCAATTATAGTCACATTTAACGGATATTCTAATCTATGGGTTATTATAATTTGTGATAATATAAGGAAATGAAGGGAAACACCGCTCAAATCGAGGCGCAAATGAGTCGTACCCGACAGTAGTCATAGTAATGCTCGCCCACCAGAAGGTATCGGGAATTGACTTGAATTTGGTATTTTCTTCGTCCTTCTCAGCAAAATAGGCTAAACTCGAGAATATCATGATTCCGATGGCAAGGAATAGCATAAGAAGTCCCAACTCTTTGTAACTATTCTTAAGAGTGAAACCTAGGCTCTGGAGTCCAGTTGAATGTCGGGCTAACTTAAGAATCCTTAAGATTCTCATAATTCTGAATATCTGTACGACTCGTCGCACGTCTTGGAACTGATCCGAGCTTTTGTTGGATTCGATGAGAAAAAGTGACACAAAATATGGCAGAATGGCCAACAAATCGATTATATTGAGCCCCCCTTTAAAGAACTTCCACTTATTAGGCGATGACATGAATCTGAGCACATATTCCAGTGTAAACCAAGTGATACAAACGGCTTCAATCATCGCTAGCTTATGGTTCTCTTCGGGTAAGTTAGTGATCGGGTCTTTGTCTTGGAAGTGCTCTATGGTATTGAGGGTCAGTGCGATTGTCGACAGTATAATGAAAAGAATGGATACGACTGCTAATACCTATAGAAAATTCAAAACTCGTTTACCCTGGATCTAATGGATTCCGTGAATCATATGATTAAGTAAATAGCAATTGTTTGGTCGCATATGAATGCCAAACGGGGGCACAGAATATGAAGGACACGATTACGAGAGACAAGTACTGGATAAGTGGCAGTCATTATGGACACGACAAATGACAAGACATGCAAAACACCGTTTGGTTTGTGTTGGCATTAGTGTTGATAACATCCAGTGAAACGTTGATCATTGAAGACAAATGTCTCATCATTTGGTCGTATCAACCAATTGGTGAAACATTACTCTAAACTCTGCCCATTTCGCTCATACATATAGCCATACAATTATATACAGAATACATTGTAATACAAATATAGTATAGAATTAATTAAACACAATATTCATCAACATTTAGACATCATTTGATAATTAGTGCCAAACAAGTAAATAATTATATTTCAGACTCATATGCGATGCAAATAGATATACAATCAAAAACTAATGCCATTTTTGAAGTGATACTTATATAACCGGACAAAATTCACGTTAATTACTATACAATATTTGGTGACAATACTGATAGTCAACACTTTAATTGACTTAAGCACTCAATAGACACGTAATACAAATCACATAATTTTCGGTTTTAAGTTAATTATCGTTAAAACCTTTCAAATATTTATCTGTTAAAAATTAATTCTTATATTCAGAGCATCAGATTCTCTAATAGATTCTCTAATAGATTCTCTAATAGATTCATTGCTCATTTTAAATGATTGCGAAATTATTTATGACTTACTCTGAGGAAAAATGTTGGCAAAATTATATCTCAATATATGAAACATTAACTTATCATAAATGTTATAAACACTCTATTTATATCCGATTTGATACTTAAAACAATCACATAAAAAAGAAATTGTTTTTAAAAGAGAGTAAATCAATTTGAAGGAGTCTTACGCGCGGATTGCATTTTGAATGTCATAATCTTATTATAAGATCTAAATTACTTCTCATTTTATAAAATGAGTTTATATGAACTGTTAGTTCAACTCTCAATTAATTTTATATATAGTTTCCGTAATTAAAAGCTGCGAATATTATCTATCTAAGTTTATATAACTAAATATAAAATTAAGTATTAATAAATTATGATAAGAATTAAGCTTTGAAGCAGTTTTGATGCTTTAGAGAAAATTATAGCTTAGAAATTAGGAGACAATTATGAAGTAAAGCACTAAATGATTGCTATTTAGAAGAATTGGTAGAATTAAGACAATAATAATGATAAAAATAATAATAATATGAAAGCAAATGCAATGAGAGTATTGTGTTGGGTCTCACCCTTGCGGGGAAGGAAGAGGTGGGCTTTTCGAGGAGATCCCAGAGAAACTTCTGATAGTGAGCGCACTTCCCTTCGCCAAAGTCCTCCTCATCTCTTTGTCGCAGAGATTCCGCTTCTTTGCGCATCTCTTCGAAGACGTGTTCTTTCCTCTGATGGTATTTGTGTTGACAACACGACTCCAAATACAACTCATCGATACCCCAGTAGTCGAGATCGTCGCTGAACGCCATGACACACATCTCTTCGACTAAATGCAGTTTTCCCGTCCGATAGAAGTTAAGGATGGCTGCGAAAGATCGCGGATGTCTGTCGAAGAAGTACTCGTTGTCCACCAGACTATAGTCATCGCAGAGCTCGCAAATGGCTTCGTGTGTATTGCAATCCCGGAGCCGTCCGAGTCTTGTGTGCGGCAACCGCTCCAAAGTCCTCCACAACACCTCATGTCTGACGCCTCCTATGTTTAGAGTGACTCTTCTGTTGAGAGCTCTGCTCCTCATAATCATGAAGGGCTCGGGCGGTAAGGATGTCATGGATCGCGACTGATTCCTCTGCATTGGTGGCCAGACCTGCTGAGAGGGTTGCGTTTGTGGCGCTTGTGATGCATTATAAGAAGGCGGAACTTCCAGTTCCAGTGTATCCGACTTCTCACTCCCAGGCATTATAGTTGCGTTTGGGAACTGGACTCC